AGGCCCTGCCTGGAGGGAAGCAGGCCCCCTTCCCTGAGGGTGAGCCCAGGCCCTTGTCAATGAGCCACAATGCAGGGCATTGTGCACCCAGCCGAGTCCCTGTAGCCCCTGCCCAGGACCACATGACCATTCCCAGTAACCGGCCCAGTTGGGCTGAGGGCACCAGCCACCCGGATCCACGGGTCCTGGCAAAGGTGGACCATCCCCGCCTGGGAAGAGTAGCTATGCATGTTTGTGTCTGTGTGTCTGAGTGTGTGTGTGCCCGCACCTGCATGACCTTGGCCCTGAGCCTGGCTGGAAACGGCAGCTATCCTGGCCCCAGGTGTCCTGCCTGGAGGAATGGGCAGAGTGAGGGGAGGGGAAGGGAACCATCCACAGACAGCTGCCAGCCCTGGCTCCCGGATGTCTCCCGGATGTCCCGCCCCATAAATACCCCTGCTCAGAGGCAGGGGCCCCGAGACAGGCACACGCACCATGGGGCGCCTGGAGCTGGCTGTCTTAGGCCTCACCTGCTGCTTGGCAGTAGTGAGCACAGCAACGGTAAGCGAGAGCCCAGAGGGTGAGGAGGGGCCCCTGTCTGCTCCCCTAACCCGGCCTGGGAACTGGTTCAGACACCTCAGGTGGGAGGTAGGGAGGGTAGAGGGTGAAGGGGGGCAGGCAGGTGAGGCGCTGGCAGGAGGAGCCCCCGAGAGCCCACACCCAGCAGGCACTTTCCTGGCCCTTCCTCTGCTCCTGCATCCACACGCACACGACGGTGCAGACGCAGCTCAAATACAGGACGCCCGCGAACTTGAACGTCAGAAACCACGAATAAGTTCTGGTACAGGCGCTCTCAGGGCACACAGGGTGACTGACGCCAAACACAAACAAAACCCAGGGTCACTGGCGTCCTCAGTGCTGATGTGCGGAGTCCGCCTTGGCCACCAGGGCCCTCAGGGTGTTCCTCTGTCCGGGGATGGCCATGGCCCCGCACAGAAGGGAGCTGGGGCCTGAGCAGACCAGCAGGTTGCCCATCACAGCCCCCGGCGTCAGAACACGAGTCTGGACCTTGGTCTAGTTCAACCCGGAGCCTGGCCCCCGAGAGGGCGACACCCACCTGTATGTTGGTGACCGGGGCCCCTCCAGGGTCACTCAGAAGCCCGGGGCAGCTGCAGGGCTTCCTTCCTCAGGGCCCTGCTATGGGGTGAGGACCGGGGCTTCCACAGGAACCCACAGCTACAGGCGGGTGAGACTAGGAGCCCTACTGGAAGCTGTCCTGGACCCCTAGAGCCAGCAGGGGTGGCCCCACCCCACCCAGCCTGTGCCCCCTGATTCTGGCCCTCTCCCCAGCTGGGCGTGGTGCACACGGAAGGGGGCTTCGTGGAGGGCGTCAACAAGAAGCTCGGCCTCTTCGGCATCGGCGGCCGCTCCGTGGACATCTTCAAGGGCATCCCCTTCGCCGCCCCGCCCAAGGTCCTGGAGAACCCCCAGCCGCACCCCGGCTGGCAAGGTAGGAGTGGGTGGGTGGGTGCCGGGCTGGCCCAGTGCCTGGGGTAGCGGGTGGGGCCACCATCCTCACGCCAGCCCCTCTGCCCTCCCACAGGGACCCTGAAGGCCAAGGACTTCAAGCAGCCATGCCTGCAAGTCACTCTCGCCCAGGACGACACCGAGGGCTCTGAGGACTGCCTCTACCTCAACATCTGGGTCCCCCAGGGCCAGAAGGAAGGTGCATCCCCCCACCCCATGCCCTCCAGGTCCCTGAACCTGCATGAAGCACCCAGGCAGCCAGAGGCCCAGCCCTGCCCAGCCCCTTCGCTTGTGGGGGCTCCAGAGCTGAAATTCCCTGAAACAAGCACCCAGAGGGCATAGGGAGGGGCTGCTGGGGTAACGGGGCCTGCTCTCCTGCCTCAGTTTCCCAGAACCTGCCTGTCATGATCTGGATCTACGGTGGAGGCTTCTACGCCGGGTCCGCCGAAGGAGAAAGCTTCTTCAATAACTATGACCACGACGGGGAGGAGATCGCTACGCGGGGCAACGTCATTGTGGTCACCTTCAACTACCGCCTCGGGCCACTGGGCTTCCTCAGCACTGGCGACGCCAACCTGCCAGGTGTGTCAGGAGCCTTGGGCCAGGGGTGAGGGAGCAGTTGGGGGGCCCTTCAGCACCGCTTTCTCCCAACAACTCCTGACAGTCTCCCAGAGAGACCCAGAATTCTACTGGCAGAGCAGGAAGCTGGGGATGGACAGTGACACACAGGAGCCCATCCGCACTGTAGGGAGAGAAGAGGCTGCCAGCCAGCCCGGCAGGGACCCAGGATGACCAGGGAGCAGGGACAGGGACCCAGGATGACCAGGGAGTGGGGACAGGGACCCAGGACGACCAGGGAGAGGGACACGGACCCAGGATGACCAGGGAGTGGGGACAGGGTTCCAGGGAGACCAGGAACTGTGGACAGGGACCCAGGGAGAGATAGAAGATCAGACACTGAGGTGGTGACTCAGGGGACACAGAGCCATGGGACAGACAAAGAGGGACAGTGTTAGGGAGAGAGATGAGCAGCCTGGCCCTCGTGGTCCTGGTACCCTACCTGAGCCCCACACCCCCTCCAGCACCTTCATTCAACAGCCTCCTGGGACCTGCCCTGCACCATCCTGGGGCTTGACAGGGGCCTCCACATGGAGGACTCTCTCCCCCCACCCCGGTCCTGATGGGCTCCCCCATCCGCCCCAGGTAACTACGGTCTTTGGGACCAGCACATGGCCATCGCGTGGGTGAAGAGGAACATTGCGGCCTTCGGGGGGGACCCCAACAACATCACCATCTTTGGGGAATCAGCCGGAGCTGCCAGCATCTCTCTGCAGGTCGGTAGACCCCTGGAGGGCGGGCCTTCCTCCCAGGGTGTTGGGGGAGCTAATGGGGGCTGTGGGGAACAGCATGAACCTGATAGTCTTGCAGTTTCTGGCTGAGCCTGGGTGTGGGAAGGAGAGGCAAGACCGTGGTAACAGAACCTCTGTGTGTCGCAGATCCTCTCTCCCTACAACAAGGGCCTCATCCGGCGAGCCATCAGCCAGAGCGGCTCGGGAGTGGCCTCCTGGGCCATCCAGAGGAACCCTCTCCACTGGGCCAAGCAGGTAAAAGGGATCTGCAGTGGGGGATGGGGGAGGGTTACCTCCTGTCCATGCCCCGTCCAGGTCACCATGGCCGTCTGCCCCGCAGTGGCCTCACCTACCTGTCCCCCTGCAACCCCCAGATCGCCAAGAAGGTGGGCTGCCCCGTGGACGATACCGCCAGGATGGCCAAGTGTCTGAAGGCCACCGACCCCCGGGTCCTGACACGGGCCCATAAGATTAACCTTCTCGGCAAGGCATGTGAGTGGGGGCTCCACATGGGGAGCTGGCCATGCTCCCCAAGAAGTGAGGAAGTTCCAGGTCTGCGGCCTAGCCCATCACCCGCTCACTGGCACCTGTAGGCAGTGACCTGATGCCTGTGTGGCCCCACTGGCTGTGCTGAGGGCACCATCCCGCCGTCTTATCCTCCCTGGGTCCTGACCCCTTTGGGAAGCAGGTGCACATTTGGGCGCACCCCCAACCATGCCAAGTACAGTCATTTGCACCCAATTGTAGGGACCAGACCAAGCACCTTTGAACTAATACCAGCAGTCACCTCTGGTGGTCCGTGAGTTCTGAAAGGTTGGCAACCACTGACCTAGCTGACCGCTGACTCTCCTGAGCCAGCCGTGCGATCTCCTCAGGGGCCATTCAGGCTTCCGGGGGGAGAGGGGGCAATGTGGACATGGCACTGGGCCTGGCTCACAGGCCAGCACAACCAGCCCTCACTCCAGAGGCTCCTCACTTGCTCTTGGTCTTCCTCCTCCCGATTCTGGCCGCGCAATAAGAGAGGGAGATAAGGACGCCCACTCCAGGACGGGACAGGTGCGGCCTCGGGCCCAGTGGCTGTCAGCGGGATGGTTTGGCCCCAGGGAGCCTGTGGCAGTCTGCACACAGCCTGGGTAGCCACACTGGGGGGTGCTGACATCAGCAGGTGGGGCCAGGGAAGCTGCTCCACACCCGCAGGGCAGCCCAGGACATAGAATTATCCAGCCCCATGTCAGGGGACAGGCTGAGGACCTTGGTCTGGATCAGAGGAGGCAGGGGCTGCACCCGGGCATGAGGCCTGGCAGGGGGCTCTGGAAGGTGCTAGAACCCGCCGCTCTCCATGCAGCCGACGTGTTAGTCCTCGTCCCTGTCATTGATGGAGACTTTATCCCTGATGAGCCCATCAACCTTTTTGCCAACGCGGCCGACATTGACTACATCGCTGGCACCAACAACATGGATGCCCACTTCCTTGTCAGATTTTTCGTACCGGCCGTCGACATTGACCTGCTGACCATTAAGGGGTGAGTAGGGCGCAGGGCCCAGGGTGGAACCTGGGGGCCTCTTGGAGAGGCATCAGCTGAGGGAGGAGGCCGACAGATGCAGCGGGCCATCTGCAGGCCCCTGGGGTGGAGTGGGGGTGGAGGTGGAGGTGCATGTGGGTCCCCCGCCCACTGGCCGGGTACAGAGTCCACTGCTGGTTTGGTCCCTACAGGAAGGACTTCTACAAGTTTGTCAGCTGGATCACCATTGCCAAGGGGCCCAGAGGTGCCAATGCCACCTTCGACTTCTACACGGCGTCCTGGGCCCAGGACTCCTCCCAGCTGGCCATGAGAAAGACGGTGGTGGACTTTGCGACCGACTACTTCTTCCTGATGCCCACGAAGATAGATGTGGCCCAGCACAGAGCCAACGCCAAGTGAGGCCCGGGGGAGGCGAGGCCTGGGTCAAGGACCTGCCCAGCAAAGCTACCCCAGTGGGCGGCTCAGGGGGTCAGGGAGGCCCGGGAAAGCCGTCATGGGGTCACAGCAGTGCCTGCACCATCTGCCTTGCCCAGGCCTGATGAGACTTGAGAAGGCCCCTCCTCACCTCCCAGGTCAGGGGCCTTTACAGAGCCCTCCTCAGCCCACAGGCCTCCCCTGGCAGCGCCTACAGCCTGCCGCCTCCCCCACATTGAGGGGAACAGAACAGGGGATGCTGGTCTCTGTTGTGGGTTTGGAGTTTGCCAACATTCAAAACAACTTTGGCCTGCGGCCACCTGGTAAACCTCAATTGAAAACCAAAAGTAAGTTAGGAATGCTGACACAGAAGAGAGAAAAAACAATACCATCTGATGAAGATCACAAATTCATTGCAGAGAAAAGGAAGGAAGGTGCCTCCATAGGCTTTGGGGAGGGAAGTGTGGACACACTTGAAATCTCAGAACCCACAACCCCACGGCCTTCCCTTCCCCGGTGCTGGGATCCAGGTCCCTCCTGGGTCTGGGGATTTCCCGGTTCCTCCTGCTCTCCCCAGGGCTTCCCTCCAGGGCCCAGCTCTGGGCTGGGGGGCCCCAGCCCAGGTGCGCCCTGCCAACCTGGGCCGTGTCCCTCCCTCCTCAGGAGTGCCCGGACCTATACCTACCTGTTCTCCCACCGCTCTCGCAAACTATTCTACCCAAGCTGGGTGGGCGCCGACCACGCCGATGACGTCCCCTACGTGTTTGGGAGGCCCTTCGCCACCCCCCTGAACTACCGGGCCCAAGACAGGACTGTCTCCCAGACCATGATCGCCTACTGGACCAACTTTGCCAGAACTGGGTAAGGCGGGTGAGGCTGGGCCAGGCCTCCTGCCAGCTGGGCCCACATGCCTGTCCCCTCACGTACACGGAACCTCCCTGAGCCTCAGTACCCCCTGTGTGGGACGTTAGGAGGTACTGGAAGGGCCCTGGCTGGTTTGGCTCAGTGGATAGAGCCTGGGCCAGTGTCCTGAAGAGTCCCAGGTTTGATTCCCGTCAAGGGCACGTACCTCAGTTGCGGGCTCAAACCTCGGCCCTGGCTGGGCGTGTTGGGGATGTCTCTCTCATATCAATGTTGCTTTCCCTCTATCTCTCCCTCCTTTTCACTCTCCATTGAAATAAATGGAATAATATCTTTAGCTGCGGGTAAAACTAAGGGGGGGGAGTACTGGCTGGGCCTCAGTTCACGCACATGCCCAGCCCGTGTCCAGGAGACAGTGAGGCCCTGGAGGTTCGGGTCAGCATGGAGGTCTCCAGCCTCCTGTGAGCCCTCAGACCCCACACGGCCTTTTCCTCATCTGCAGGGACCCCAACCAGGGCCACTCGGCTGTGCCCACCCAATGGGAGCCCTACACCCAGGAAAACGGCAACTACCTGGAGATTAACAACAAGATGGACGGCCAGTCCATGAAGCAGCACCTGAGGAGCAGCTACCTGCAGTACTGGACCCAGACCTACCAGGCACTGCCCACCGTGAACGGAGACGTGGCTGGTCCTGTGCCCGCCTTGGACGACTCTGAGGCCATCCCCTGAGCCCCCCCTTGGTGACTCTGAGCAAGTCTGCCCCAGCCCCCCACTGGTGACTCTGAGGGGGCTCAGATGCCTGCAGCCATTGGCTTCTAATGTCCTTGTCCTGGAGGCCACAGGTGGGACCCAGGGAGCCCACGTCCCTCCCCAGCTCTTCCTGAATAAAGCCCCCTTCTCTCTGGCAACCCTCTTTGCCCTCATGACCTCAGCTGCCCGCCCAGGCTCTGCCTGTGTCCAGCTCAGGAAGTGGGGTGCCCCCCTCATTTCAGAGGAGAAAAGAGGGTCAGAGAAGCATCAGCGCCAGGGCTGAGCTCAGGCTGCGGGCCCTGATGGGGGAGGGGGGGGGACTGCATGGGGAGCGTTCTGTTAAATGGGAATGGCCTGGGAGAGAAACGGTATCGCCTCCAGCTGGATCCCAGGCAGAGACAGTAACGCATCCCGCTGGGCTCAGAGCAGAGGGTACAGGGCTGGGACTTGGGTGCGCACAC